CTATTTAGAAGCGTTGCTTTTTGATTTTAATTACGGTTTAATACACGTAATCCTATTATAAACGCAGTAAAGCAGCTTCTAAATAGACCCAGTTTTGCTCACACACGGGGGGGGGGTACCTTCCGTTTCTTCGTTTGTAAAGCCGGGCCAAGCCCCCCTATCAAGCTGTAAAGCCCAAAGCGCCCAACCTGAATCGTCACCCTATACCCTATAAACTCTAAAGCCTATACCCGAAACCCTACACCCTAGAACCCTAGACCCTAAACCCTATGGATCCCTATAGATCCCTTAAATGGTCCCTAGAACCCAAACCCCCGAAATAATATGGAGCCTCCACCTCGCAACAGCAGCAAAGCCCCAAGCTCTAGCCATCAAACGCTGAGCCCCAAACCCTAAACCCCTAAACCCTAAACCCCAAACCCTAAACCCCGAAACCCGCAAAAGCTAAACCCCTAAGCTTAAACCCTAAACCCTAAACCCCAAAACCCCGAAACCCGAAACCAACAGCAGCTTCAAGGTTGAGGGTTTAGGTGCCAAAGCCCTGCCCCAAAACCCTAAGCCCTACTCGATGGGGCCCAAAGGACTCAGTACTTAGGGTTTAGGGTTTAGGGTTGACTTGGAGGGTCGGGGGCCTTAGTAAGTAGTTATTGCATAAACTTATAAGTATCATAACCCCAGTTAGGCCTTCGGGTCTCTTTTGGGTTACTTATATATCTCCTTATTACCTACTTACTAAGTCCCCCCACCCTCCAAGTGTCCTAAAAGAGTTTCGAACAGCCTCTTACTGCAACGAGGATTATGGGTCAGGTAGCTATACTTCTTATAGCTTTCAGCCCCCATGGCTTGATCTACGAAGCCCCCCAAATCCGAATCTGCCAGGGGTTTAGGGTTTAGAGTTTAGGGCCTTATAGCGGCCTTAGCCTTAGCTATGGAGTCGCGATCAAAAACCCTCACAGACTCAAAGACCCTGCTTACCGTAACTACTGGACACCACCTAGCTGTAGCCTTGCATGTGTATAAATCCTACAGCACCTCATAATATGACAAGCAGGCGTTCTGCGGCTACTTCTTCCTTGAGCTAGTCATCCGCTTTTGCGCTTTCGAAGAGAAGTGCAGCTGGGCGGCTCTTGATGTAGGGTTTAGGGGTTTAGGGGTTTAGGGTTTAGGTAGGGTTCAGGGTGTAGGGTTTAGGGTTTTAGGGTTTAGGGTGAAGAGAAGTGCAGCTGGGCGGCTCTGGGTTATTTGATACAGGTTTTAGGGTTTGTCTTTCTGCTGCTTATCGGGCAGTATAGGGGTGTTATGAAGCTTTTCGGCATTCATTATTTGATTCGGGAGGGGTTTCTCAGACCTTCAGCACCTTACTTAAGCAACCGTTAAGCAGGAGAGCATTGCAGTGACTGGTTTTCCTTATTATCAGGTTCTGTAGCCGTGTAAACAGGAAACTAGACTAGGGCTTCGGTGGTAAAACGCCCCGGTTTAGTCGTAATGCAACAGAGACCCTGTTTACTTACCCCTGTCCTGCAATACCGACATCAACAAGGAAAGAACATAGCCCCTTATAGACAAGGGGTCTTAAGCATCAGCAGTCTGCATTTGGCTGTGGTTTCCGAGCTTAAACTTAAGCTATAGGACTGGGCTGAGGGTTCAAAATGCTTTAGGGTTTCATGGGGTCCACGGCTGGGGTCAAAGAGGGTTTATCCTTCATGCTGTGTGGTTTTCGGGTCAAAGGGGCTCGGGGGTACAACACTACTTCAAGTCACCAATGAGCTTCCCCGTACGGTTGTAAGATAAGGGTCTGAATGGCTCGTAATTGTTTCTTCCCAATATCCCAGCTCTATTCTCGTTAGTCATGGCCCTAACCCGAAACCCTAAACCCGCAGCTGGGGTTCAATGCTCAGTCGATGGGTGGCACATTTCAGATGAGGGCTCCTCTAAATCGTAGTGCTACTCTCACTCTTTGCTATTGAACCTCACCCCTAAACCCTAAACCCTCACGGATAACCCACGACAGACCTTCGAAACCTGAAACGCCCACAGCCCGCGCCTGAACGCAGCTTGGTGGCTTCAGAGGACGGGGTTCTTTAAGATATGGTTGGTGATAGAAATCCTGCACTACCCACAAGAAACATACGACAATCCACAGAGTTTAGGGTCCTTAAGGTAATGCAGGATTTCTCATCAACAGTATGGTTCCAGGGGGGAATAGAGGGGTTTTAATGCTTTTCGGATAGCAGTGATTCTGACTCGGATTCCTGCGTTTAACGGGTTTCGGAGGCCCAAAACCTTGAACCGTCCTTCCATCAGCAGTTTGACTGCCCTCCTCAGGTTTTGCGTTCCAGGACATGTCGCGACCTCAGTGGATGCTTGGGGCTTCCGGGTGAACTGCCGACTTGGAGGAGCCGGCGTATAGTATACAAGGTTTAGGGTTTAGGGTTTAGGGTTCAAGGTTGTAAGTAAGTTTCAACTCCAAGTTACCTCATGAATCCCAGAAGATCCAAAGATATTACCTTTATGGAAGGTCCAAAGATATTACCTTTGTGGAGTTAGGCCCCAAAAGAGCATCCCGATCATGACTTCGGGGGACCTAATTCCAAAATAGTAGTGTAAACCCAAACCCCTAAAATGGACCCTCTTGGAATGTTTCGAGTTACTATAAGCCCCATCATGATCCTTTCAGTCTCTCCGGGTTTTGACAGGCTTCTTGGACCTAAGCCCACCACCCTAATACAGGGGCGGTTTAGGGTTTAGGGTTTAGGGAATAAGGTGTTGGGGTATATTATAGTCTAATTATCATAAGGAGCCCCCCTAAAAAAAAACACATAGTATAGGCAATTACTTAGGGTCCCTATATTAATCACTGATAGACCCTAAGCCGAAAGATCATGACTTGGGAGAAGGCCTCGTGCCTCCTGCTCTCTGATGTCCCAAAACACTCTCCGACGGAACGGTTTCAATTGAGTCTCAAGATCAATGAAGGGCATCAAAGAGGGTAGGCAGGGTCAAGAATCCCTTGTAGCAAAGGCCTTATTTGAGATTTCCCCACCTGCCAAACCCTAAACCCTAAACCCTAAACCCTAAACCCTAAACCCTAAACCCTAAAGCGAACGCGCAACTCGCGACGCGTGCCACGTTGTTTATTTAAAGCTTGCGGACCCATCCTGGGCCCTTGTCGGACATTTTTTACGTTTTTGTTATAACCCAGAGGGTCCATATATACTACCATTATGGAATTAGGCCTTAAAAGACCATCCCTATTATGGTTTTGGGGACCTAATTCCATAATAGTAGTGTATATGGACCCTCTTGGTAGTAAAACCCAAGAAAGACTTAAAACTGATCATTTTCAATATAGCCCCAACCCTAAACCCAAACCCCTAAACTAAACCCTAAACCCTAAACCCTTAAACCCCAAACCCCAAACCCCTAAACCCCTAAATCCTAATCCGTTGACAGCCTCTTAGCACGTTTGCGCGTGGTTCGCCTCGCTTGGGGTCTCGGGTTCCTCGTCTTTCTCTACGGGTCCAAAGGAGGGTTTAGGGTTTAGGGTTTGGGGTTTGGGGTTTGGGGTTTAGGGTTTAGGGTTTTGGGTTTGGGATTTGGGGTTGAGGGTTTAGGGTTTAGGGTTTAGGGTTTAGGGTCTAATAATCATGTACTTGTGTTACGGATAGTAGGTTTTGTAGGTTAGTATTCAGAAGAGTATATGATTCCTAGGCTTCATGGGCGTAGTGCCTCAGAGGTCGAACACATCCAGTGGCCATGTGAGCATTGCGTGTAGATGTCTCCTTCATGTGGCTTTGCTGGTTGTGAGGCTGCAGAGAAGCCGACGGAACGCCCACGGCGCACGCAGCGATGCTAAACCCTAAACCCCTAAACCCTAAACCCTAAACCGCCAATCCTGCGAAGAAGCACCAGAGCAGCATCTGGGTGCAGAGCGAGGCAGAAAGTTGCAGTCGTGAGGACAGCTACGCTTGGTTTGGTTTAGGGTTTAGGGTTTAGGGTTTAGGTTTTAGGGTTTAGGGTTTAGGGTTAGGGGACCTTGTGCTGTGAGCACCAGGTTAGTTGCTACAGGATAACCGGAACGCGCTATCCAAGCTTTGGGCCGTAAGAGCATTTTCGCATTCTAGGTTTTGACTCAGTTGTCAATGTATTCTGAGCCTTAGGGCTTCTGGGCTTTCGAAAGGGCAAAAACATACCCTCCTAGTCCCTACGCGACTATACTATAATCTGCCCCAAAAGTCTAAAAATCAAGGCCTGCCCGTGATTCCAGTGATCTTGCCAGACTCAGGATAGCTAAAACCCCCCACCCTAGGTCCAATCTTTAAGCCCTTACGGCACTTCGTAAAGAATCCTCAACCCCAAACCCTAAACCCTAAACCCTATAAACTCCTAAGCCCTAATCCCTAACCTTTGCTTCGGTAAGCCCTTGCAATGCATAGCTCTGACGAAGGTGGTTCTGCTTGGACCTCCTGCTTGTGATCCTGCTGCTTGGAGCTGCATGAAGGATGGGGCATAGGGGTAAGCTGCATGAAGCCCCCGAAACCCTAAACCTCAGCCAAAAAGCCTCAGCCCTAAACCCTAAACCCTAAACCTCCTGCCTTCTCATGGAGTCATGGAGGGTCTCTTGTGATTTCTAGCTAATTCGGTCTCCGCAGATTCCTTGCCGAAAGCTCAACTAAACCCGAAAAAACCTAGCGGGTTTCAGGCTTGGTGCTAAAGGACAGAAATACCAAAAAGACTAGACCATAGAGGTGCCTAACAACCCTAGACCCTCGACCCTAAAACCCCGAACCCTAAAACCCTAAAGCCCTAAAGCCCTAACCCCTAAACCCTAAACCCCCAAACCCTTAACTCTGCCCTACACCGGAACCCAAAACTGAAGTACGCAGTCGCTGGAACAGTGAGAGGCGGAGTCTTAGGTTTTAGGGTTTAGGGCTTAGGGTTCAGGGCTTTGGGTTTAGGGTTTAGGGTTCACGGCTTTGGGTTTAGGCTGTAGGGTTTTGAGGTTTAGGGTTTAGGGTGTGCTCCATGCAGTAAACCTTTCTTGGAATTCCAAGGAGTTCATCACTCATCCTCCCTTTGGGTTAAGGGTTTAGGGTTTAGGGTGCGGAAAAGGCCTAGGCACTGGGATCTTCATCATGACTGAGCGACAACTTTCCTGGTTGACTTATCAGGGGCTAACATGACCCCGGAAAGCCCACCTCCTGAACCTGCTCCTGTAAGCCCAGTATGCTAGATATTTAATGCTCTTGGAATTATGTTTTCTTATGATATAACTCCAGGGGATTAATGAGAATATTATGCTTATTCTGGCGAAGAGATGGGTCATCGGGATATTTTACATTTTCCGTTATTGGGCTCAAGGGAATCTCATGTGGGACAATTTTCAGATGCCTTGAGGGGCTAACTAGCATGAGTGTGAACCCTAAGTATTAAACCCTAGAGTAAACTAAAATGCAGGGGTTCAGCATTCAGAGCTGTTCGTGACAGGTAGTCAGTAGCCCCGTAATATGAGCCCTACCGTAGCCAGCAAACACGACTTTTGTGTGCGGTCCCTAAAAATTCCCGGTTTATGTTAGGACGGTTAGGATCCGAACTTACCTCTAAACCCTATATCCTAATAATTTCAAAGCCTAGAGTCTTTGGAGGTATGCCGTCGACACATGGCTCGTGACAATCCTCGTGCTGACGGTAGGCCAGATCGATGTTTCTCGGTTCAGGGTTCAGGGCTTTGGGGTTCAGGGCTTAGGGTCTACATGAACTCCCAAAAGCCAACCCGGACCTATCTTTTCCCAAGGGTCTTAAGTGCCTGCATGGTATAAACTTTGGTGTCGGAACTGCTAGATTGGTTTGGGTGAGTGTCCCCTATTCAGCTGCTTCAGGAGATATATAAGTAAATCATACCAAGAGGGTCCAAATACACTACTGTTGTGATCTCTCGGCTTAGGGTCTAGAGGGTTTTTGGGGGGAGGGCTCAGGGTAGCAAGCCTGTCAAAACCCTGAGACACTGAAAGGATCATGGCTAAACCCCACACCCTACGGAGCCATTTGGTAACCAGATCCCGTTGTACCTACATATAGCTGCGCTAGATTTTTCGCCGAAACCTTGTTCTATTTTTTCAGGCCCTAAGCCGTTCAACTAGACCCTTCAGTCAACCCCTTATAGAAACAGAAACCCTAATCCCTAAACCCGAAACCCTAAACCCTATATTAATTAGGCCGAAAGTTCGATTGTAAGTGCTTCGATCCTCAATATGCGGGTCAGAAGAATGAGTATTACTATGTCCTTACGGTCTGTCTTTGCGGAAGTATTGTAGCATATACTAAAAAATCCAGCTCTACTTGCCGAGGCCGCTATACTTAAAACCCTGTCATATTCCTTCTAATGGCATGATCTAGAACCCTTGAAGGACACCCTTGAAGGAAGCCCCTGTTCTACTTAATCAGGCCCCCTAAACCCAAAATTCCTAAACCCTTGAACCCCTAAACCCCTAAACGATCCTAAACCCTATAAACCCTGAGCCCCAAAAGCCTTACACCCCCAAAAAGGCCCTAAACCCTTAAACTCCTAAACCCCTAAACCCTGAACGATCCACGGAACACAGTCTCTACTTGAACATGAAAATTCTACAGCGCACATACCACCAGCCACTGTCGCAACTGAAGCCTTCCAGCGGCCGGCCGCTTGGCAGGCCGCCGGGCGGCGGCAAGCCCCGGGGCCGGGGTAGGCCGCGGGGCACTGGTCGAAGTGGAGCCGGGCCTCGGGCCCGTGGTCGTGGCCGAAAATATGGTCCAGGTCGCAAGCGCCCGGCATCAGCATGGATCCTATCAACACCATTCGTGTGTTGGACACGCAGGAGTCATGGGCATCGCAGCTGGCGCTTCTGTTTGCAAGTTTTGGAGCGCCTGCACAAGCGATTCAGGATTACATGCTGAAGGCAGTGATATTCCAAGCAAGCGGCACGTTCCAGAGCGTACAAGTGCAAGCACAAGATCCTGTAGCGGAGGTCTTGAAGATATCCAATACCATTTTGTTGTTGCGCCGCGGCGGTTAGATGCTTTTATCTCATGACGTCGTGGCCAGACAACTTTTCGCAGGAGACCTTGTTGGGTTTGGGGTTTAGGATTTGTTGGGTGATTTTAGGATGCGGGTTATAAGATTTAGGATTTGGAAGCTTCAGACAATGGCATGAGGACCCTGAATTCTCTTTGGCCATACAAATATCTTCCCTCAAATCCTAAATATAGGATAATCTTGACCACCTCCGCATTTCAGCCTTAGTCTTGAATTACCTCTACTTCGAAACCAATCTCCAAACAGTCCACAAAGCTTGAAAAAGTGTTCAGCGCCCGGAGAGGCTTTCGGATGGATGCTGGCACGCCCGGGACTCGTCCGATCGGCGGAGAGCTGCAACACATAACAGCCTTTATCTGAGTGTACTGGGTGCATGGTACGTAAGGTTTTGAGCTAGGGCTAGGGTGTAGGATTTTGCAGTCCAGGTTGAGGGTTTAGGACTTTAGCTTGAGGGTTTGGGGAGGAAGGTTCTGTTTCAGTTTCGTACTGGGCTGACCCTTGCTGATTCTGGCTGATGTTTGTTGGCCGACTTGGCGTTCCGGCACCCTATTGGGTTCGTGGTCCCTGAACCCAAATCCCCCAAACCCTAAACTCCAAACCCTGAGCCCTAAACCCAAAGCCGCAGCGAGGTCTACGATGGTCATGCTGCGAATGCTGCGCTTGGTGAAGCTTTGTAGGCTGACCAGGCCGAACCCTGCATAGGGTTTGGGTTTAGGGTTGGGGGGTTTAGGGTTTAGGGTTTAGGCGTTAGGGGTTGTAGGGTTTAGGGTTGAGGGGCTTAGGGGTCTAGGGGGTAGGGGCTTTGGCTTTAGGGTTTAGGGAGGGGTTTGGGGGGTAGGGGTTTAGGGTTCAGGGGTTTTGGAGTTTAGGGCTTAGGGGTTCAGCGGGTAGACCCTAGAATGCACTACAATGCACTACCTTCTGTATGGTTAGGGTCCTTGCATAAGAAACGCAGGTAACCCCCGCAAAAGGTACGACATCATAGGTATGGTGTCCCCTAAGCATCCTGAAGTACCTATATAGGAACTGTTTTTAAGGCCCAAGTATATACTATATGAAACACTGAACCCCCAAACACTAAACCCTAAGACCTACTTACTAAGTCCCCCGACCCTCAAGTGGGGCACTGGGCAAGAAAGTCTGAACCCAGAGCTTTAAACCCTCAACCCGGCACTACGGTTGATGATATAAATCCTGCATTACCTCAGGGACCCTAAACTATGGCATCTATAGTATGTTCCTTATTATTGGCAATGCAGGGTTTGTATCATCAACGGTATAACTTAATCGCTAAACCCTAAACCCTAAACCCTAAACCCTAAACCCTAAACCCTGAATAGGGGTTTAGGGTTTAGGGCTTAGGGGTTTAGGGTTTAGGGGTTTAGGGCTTGGGGGTTTAGGGTTTAGGGTTTAGGGGTTTAGAGCTTAGGGGTTCAGAGTTTAGGGGTTTAGGGCTTAGGGTTTAACATGATTTCCTGCCACACCCTAAGAGCCCAAGCAGCGAGTAATCCTCTACCACAGAACCACTATCCTCAAGCGCCGAGTTACTGGGTCCTTTGTAGCCTTGGGGTCATTTATAGGTTTTACAACACCTTAATGCTAAGCCCCTCAACCCCTAAACCCTAAACCCCAAACCCTAAACCCCAAACCCCAAACCCGAAACCCCTAAACCCCTAGACCCCAAACCCTAAACCCGAAACCCCAAACCCTAAACCCTATACCCTAATCCCCAAACCCCTAAACCCTAAACCCCAAACCCCTAAACCCGAAACCCCAAACCCTATACCCTCAACCCCAAACCCCCAAACCCCGAAACCCTAAACCCTAAACCCTACACCCCTAAACCCGAAACCCTAAACCCCAAACCCTAAACCCTGGAAACGTGCCATGATCGACACTTGAGGCGCGTTGTCGGACACACGAACTAGGTAGCTTCATGGGTTCGGGAAAAAAGGGGCGACAGGCATCCCCTACCTTTCCTAGGTAGTATTAGGGAGACCCCCTTAAAAGGGGTTTTAGGGTTTTAGGGTTTCGGGTTTAGGGTTTAGGGTTTAGGGTGTAGGGTTTAGGGTTTTAGGGTTTAGGGTTTAGGGTTTGGGGTAGGTAGTAGGGAGACCCATTAAAGGGGACCCTTCTTAACCCGACTTAAACTACCAAAACCTACTTTTTGTTGAAGGTCCCTTGTTCTATTCCCTATTTTCATTTATTGGGACCCTACAAAAAGAGTAACACCCTAGAAGCCCTGCACTTTTTCGGGCTTTCTGGGGTTTCTTCCTATCACGGTCTTATCCTTAGGAACAAGGTAGGTGATTTTTTTGGGTTCAGGTAGACCCGACACTCCAGCACCTGAAGCCCCAACCGGGTCGGGGTTTAGGGTTTAGGATTTAGGGTTTAGAATTCAGAGTTTAGGATTTAGGGTTTAGTGTTTAGGGCCATAAAGCCCTTCCCAGAGTGTCCATGGTCCATAAATACTACCATGATGGCATTGGGTCCCAAACCAAAAGACCATCCTTATCGTGATGTCAGCTCCCGCGCACTGATCACGATGCCGCTGGCCATGATGGACCGTACCCGCCCCCTCGCGTGTGCGGCCAGGCGGACTCCCTTCATGAACTTGCGCAGCGTGCCTTGGGGCCTCGTGGTGGAGTTCTTGCTTGAGGTGCCAACGGAGCTGGACGAGACGACCTCCACTGGCATGGAAGGCCTCGGACGACTGGGCAGCTGCAGCTGGGTACTTCGCAGCTGCCTCTTCGACCGGCTTGTTGCCAGCCGCGGCTCCATGCTTCAGATGACCCACAGCTTCATCTGGAACCGCGTAGCCAGCTTGGAGGCTCACCCAAACATCATCTTACGCGGGCGACTATGGCATGCCTACGAGCAAGCCCAAGATGACCCCGAGAGCATGCACGTCAGGCTCGCCGAGATGCTCTAGGACCCAGTGCCAGAACACTGCCCCTCTAAACCCTAAATCCACACACCCTAAAGCTCAAAGTTAACCCTCCAAGCCCTGAGCCCTATAAACTAAAGCTCAAAGTGAACCCCAGGGCTTCCAAACTTGTCGATTCCGTACCCTAAACCCTAAACCCTA